CACTGTACATTGAGGATATTTATAATAAGTTTCAAATATAGATGTAAAAAAAAAAGACTTAATGTCAAAAACTCCACAATAATTTCAGACTTCCTCATCTGATGTGGAGAGAGCAGCTTGTCTGAGCGTAGCCTTTAGGAGGCGGATCTGAAGTCTGGCCTTGGTTTGCAGCAGTTTGGTCAGAGTCAGTTGTTTCTCTGCCAGATGAAGCTGTGCTTCTGCCCTTTCAGTCTCTTTTTGCAATTGTTGAAAGAGATTTCTAAAATCAGTCATTGCCATTCTTTGCACTTTTTTTTTTGTTATTCTGTAATCATTGCATGCATCACTAATAAATATTCTAAAAACAAAAATATTTTCAATTGTGATGAATATAGATAACAATTATTGACAATAAAATGTATTGTTTTTGGTAAATTTTGACAGCTGTTTGGGGGATTATTTTATGAGGCCAAACTATTTGTACTTTGCTGTAGGCCTATACTGAAATAATCACTACAGCCTGACGGATGAACAAATAAAATTAAAACCTTATGAATCAATAGTATATCTCGTAAGATACTGTGTGATCCAAAAATAGTGTTATTTAATAAAATTTTTAAGTTTTTATTACATTTTGGGCATGAAATCCACACTAAATCCACCTTTCTGGTGGGATCAGTTTAATCCAGGTTTTTTGGATCAAAGTGATCCAAATCCTACAAAAAAGGTCTGAAAAACCCAAAGTAAAGGTTTGATCCGGATCAAAGCCAAGATTAGATTACGTGATCTAATCCGATTATGCAATCCGTTTTTTCTTTTGAAAAACCCATTTTCAAGATTTGATCCAATCCCTTATCCAAAATCCTAGTGGATTACTTTTGAAAAACCGGGCCCTGGAGATCAGCTGAATGCAGCTCTGGGGGAGTTGTAAAATGAGATGAAATTGTTTTAAGTGTTTTTAAGTGTTTCTTTAAGAATATGTCAGTGAACAAGATTAGGGAAAATAAGATTTTTCTGCCATTATAAGTCAAGTTTACTTAAATGCAGTATTAATCATATTTCAGAGAAGTATTTAAAAAGTAGACTGAAAGCCCTGCTGAACAATCCAGCTTAAACCAGCCTAGGCTAGTTGGCTAGTTTTAGCTGGTTGACCAGGCTGGTTTTAGAGGGGTTTTGGCCATTTCCAGGCTGGTTTCCAGCCATTTCCAGCCTGGTCTTAGCTGGTCAGGCTGGGAGATGACCAGCTAAATCCAGCTAAAACCAGCTTGACCAGCCTGGTCTAAGCTGGACATAGCTGGTTTTGGCTGGGCTCCCAGCCTGGCTAGGCTGGTCAAGCTGGGTTTAGCTGGTCATCTCCCAGCCTGACCAGCTTAAACCAGCCTAAAAATGGCCAAAACCCCTCTAAAACCAGCCTGGTCAACCAACTAAAACCAGCCAACTAGCCTAGGCTGGTTTAAGATGTTTTTTTCAGTAGGGAAAACATTTTTATAGTTTGGCAAGCTTCCTTTTCCTAAGGGTAAACAATGCCTTGGACATCAAGGAAATTATAGCTCGTTCTCTAATTGTGAACTTCATTGTAGAGTAATCCCTGTGAGCTTTTTGCAACTCGTCCAAGACAAAACCTCCTCTAATTAGATGCAGGAACGAACTATTGAAATTAGCATTAACCATCAGGACACCTTATGGTGACAGAAGGTGATTTGCATGAAAAACAATAGGTAAAGGAACACCATACAGTAAGCAAAATATCTCTAAATACTCACAATCTTATAATTAGGAGTCAGACCATTGATTCAGAATGAGACTTTCAAAATGATACCATACATGAACATTATATTGAAGCTGATTATTCTGAGGAAACTGAATGAATTGATGGATGAATAAAGGGAAGGAAGTGGGGGAGAATGAGCAAATGTGAAGGAAGGATCGTTGAGAAAGAAGCTTTCCCGCATCTTTTCCTCAGCGGGGGTGTGGAGGCAGACGCCTGTATGCTAATACAGTCTTTGTGTAGTCCGTAACTAAAGAGATCAAAGTATCTGGGCTTCTTTCAGCCTTACAATTTATACTCTTGGTTCGCAAAGAATAGCTGACAAAAAAGCCTCCTGTCTGTACAATTTGTAGTGACTCTGGAACACAAAACCAGCAAAAAAAAGCAAAGAAAAGGTCTATATATTACTAGTGTTGGGGGTAATGCAAGTAACGTGAGGTACGTAATAACAAGTAAATAATTAGTAAAGTGATGCAATACTTTTCAAAGTTAATTAATAATATTTGAGTTACTTTTTAAAAAATGTAACTTAATTTACTTTTTAGTTTAGTTAATTCACTTTAAAAAAAAAATAAAAATTTATTAAAATGAAGGAATCCTGCACGCACTGAGAAAATGCAGGAACAGACAGAAAGGAGATCGGCAGAGCCTTACATTACTGCGATGAAAATATTCTCATTATTTTGAACACATGGAAGAAAATGAAAGGAGGGTTATCTGAACTGACAGTGATTTTATTTATTAATAAGACAAAAAGTACAAAAGTAGCAAAACGCGAACAGAAAAAGTAACTCAAAAGTAACGTAACGCAATACTTAGCATAAAAAGTAACGCAACTACCCAGGTAGCAAAGAACTCTGGCCCATATTCTGGCACAGCAGGCATTCATCCGGCACTGGCATACAGCATGTGGGCCATCTTTAAGGTGGCACACAATACTTGGGCCAGATGTAAATTGTAGTATTTGGCTACTAATAATATTCAATTAATAATTGATATGTGGGTCACGTAAGTTTGACTTGATTCACATTTAAAATACATTTGAATTATTTCAAATACAAAAAAAATTGTCTACCAATCAGGTAAAAAGCACAGCCATAGCACGTCTAAAGAGCAGTGCTTCATGGGTTTATCAATTTCATTGCAGTCATGACACACCAACATATCTGGCCCAGTTCAGGTTCAGTTATGGGTTTTTAACTTGGCTGAGACTAGGCCCTGATATGGTCCATGTGTGGCGCTTTTCTGGAAGACAGACTCAGTCCAATCATCTACTGTAATTCACTGCTGCATGTGGGCCAAGTAAAAGCTGATTGTGTGGGCCAGATATTTTGCTGCGTGGGTAGTTACTTTTTTGGGGAGTAACTCTGAAAGCTGTATAATTTGTTGTAAGGACAATATTTCTGAATAAATATGATTTGGTTATTTATGGTTTGCTGTAATAGGACAATACTTCATAGAGGTACAACTACTTGATATCTGGGATCTGAGAGTACAAAAATATCAAAATATTAAACAAAACAGACTATTCTTAGTTTTTTGTCTTTTTTCTAGTGCAAATATCTAATTAAATCAAGAAGCATTTTTATACAAGTAAAACATATTGTATTGTTTAAAGAGATAATCTAGCAAAATTAAGTGAGTTTTTGTCCTGAAGCAAGCTAAATAATCAAGCAGCTTTTAGCATTTACCTTATTTGTTAGATTATTTTGCTGCTTTTAGAGAATCAAATAACTTATAACTCTTAAACTTATTATTTCTAAAACCAAAACAATATTTTTTGCTTTTCTAGAAAATGCTTCTTGATTTAGGACTTTTTAAATATTTGGACTAGAAACAAGACACAAAATCTAAGTAAGAAAAGTGTTTTCTGCAGTTTAAAGTTGTGTAAAAGATGTGCTTAGCAATGAACATTATTAATCAAAAAAGAGTTTTGATATTTACTAAACACCTTTATGGAACATAGCTTGGCACATGGCATAAAAAAAGCTATATAATTTTTACCCATACAATGTATTTTTGGCCATTGTGCAACATAAAGATTTGTAGTCCAGGGCAACTTCAATTTCATTTTAATTACAATATTCATTCATTCATTTTATTTCAGCTCGGTGCCTGATTTATCAGGGGTCACCACAGCGCTTAGGACCGCCTATTTACAATATAATTTAACATTTTATTTAACATTATAAAAGTTCAGGGCGTCTCAGTGGTGCAGTGGGTAGCACAATCGCCTCATAAGCAAGAATGTCACTGGTTTGAGCCTCGGCTGGGTCAGTTGGCATTTTTGTGTGGAGTTTGCATGTTCTCCTCAAGTTCGCGTGGGTTTCCTTCAGGTGCTCCAGTTTCCACCACAGTCCAAAGACATGCGCAATGGCTGAATTGGGTAGGCTAAATTGTACGTAGTGTATGTGTGTAAATGAGAGTGTGTGTGTGTTTCCCGTTGATAGGTTGCAGCTGGAAGGGCATCCGCTGCGTTCATTCCACGGTGGCGACCCCTGATTTATAAAGGGACTAAGCTATGCATCAATGAATTTGCTCTTCAATGTTTGGTCTCTCAGTAATGATTTCAAGCCACACTGAACTGAGCTAAACTGAACTGAACTTAAACACTAAAAACTGAACTACCCTGATCCAGTTACTATGACCATTTATGTGAAACTGCTTTGACACAATATACATTGTAAAAGCACTATACAAATAAAGCTGAATTGAATTTAATTGAACTAAGCCGAATAGAAAATGAATGAATTAATGAATAAAAGTTCATATATCATAACCCCCAGTTAACACTCTATGGTATACAGGGTTAAAAGGTATTGACATAAGCATGTTACTAATCGTTAAAAAAGTAAATATAAATAAAATAAGCAATCATATTTCCAGATAACAGTAATGGTAAATGTAAAAGGACAATACAATGACCCACAAACAAAAAACGTTTGTTTTTAATACTTTAATAGCATTGTAATACCCTGACAAATAATAAAAAATAGCCTGTATTAGGTGTAGAAAAAAGCCTAATACAGAATAAGCTGCTCTGTTTTGTAGTTCATTTGCTGAACTTTGACCACGGAAGGATAAAGGCACAAAGTTTATGAGAGAGAGATTTGGTTACATTCTAACTCTAAGAAAAGAAAAGAGAGAGAGAGAGAGAGAGAGAGAGAGAGAGAGAGAGAGAGAGAGAGAGAGAGAGAGAGACCTGGCACCTTGAGCACTGTGATTGGCTGATCTGTGAAGTCCAGCCCAGTCTATGGACCCCAGAGTCACTAAAGTAGAGGCTGAGACTGAGATTCTGTGAGAAATAAGCAGAAAGAGTTACCTGTGGACAGCAGCAGCAGAACAGTGGAGTTCTTCATCATGCTGCTGGGTTTCCTCCTCATCCTTCATCTTCAGCTGCTGCTTGTCGCATCTTCATCCTCCTCTGAGGAAGACAAGAGCAGCGAGAGAGACGGACAGCACAGTAAAGGTGAGTGTAAATCAGTGAAGCGTCCATCAGTGTCCTGAATGAATGAATGCTCTCCTGGTTTTCTCCAGTGTGAGGCACCTTAGACTTTGCGGAAAGAGAAGAGCTGATATTATTGTATGTTTATTAATTTAGGTTTTAGTCAAATTGTCACTAAAAATCACTAAAAATTGTCACTAAAATTTGAAGTTGCTATTTTTGGTACCCTGGACCACAAATCTTTATGTTGCACAATGGCCAAAAATACAATGTATGGGTCAAAATTATACTGTTTTCTTTTATGCCATGTGCCAGGCTATGTTCCATCAAGATGTAGTACATATCAAATCATTTTGATTGATAATGTGAATTGCTAATCACATCTTTTAGACATCTTTACACTTCAAAAATGCTTTTCTTACTTGGATTTTGTGTCTTGTTTCTAGTCCAAATATTTAAAAAATCCTAAATCAAGAAGCATTTTCTAGATAAGTAAAAAAATATTGTCTTGTTTTCAGAAATAATGTTAAAAAGTTGAATTGAAACAAAGATTATTCGCGTATACTATTAGTTTTCATCGTTATTCAGAGTTTCCAATGCAGTCGAATGGCAATTCGTAATGTCTCGATATTTCGTATGAATTTTAGCATGACTTGACTTTTTAGCATGGCTCCTTTAAAAAGGGCTCCTTTAAAAGTAAGCCACTTTCCAATTTGTGAAATAGTTATGTTTTCTCACGAGATCTGACTGAGGTTTCAGTCCTCAGTGTTTTTTATTTTTTTTGCTTAATTAAATTTGTAATTTTTGTTTGTTTAAATCAGTTTTATTTCTGTGCAGTAAAATTCTTCAAAAAAGACAGACACAAATGAACCAATAAACTGCCAAATGAACTGCGAGCGAGACAAAAGCCTGTTTATCGACTACAGACGTTTAGAATTAGCTCAAAATTGACTGAGAGTTAATTCTAGTTATTTGAAAAGAGTTTTGAACTTAGTATTTAAGGAAATGAGTTAATAAAATCCCTCATTACTTCAACTTAAATGGAGTAAGTTCACAGTACTCATATAGATTCGTTTTTTTTTTTTTTTTTAGCTCAAATGGTTTGTAACAATCGGTTTCCTCAAACAGTTTAGGTTGGCTTAACCTATCAGGTTTTACAGTACTTGATTTGAGTTTTTGTCATTTATTGGATTTACTGTGCTCAAATTGCTTCGTTTACTCAAACGGATTAAGTACACAGTACTCATTAGGATAAACTTAAATGGTTTGTTGCAATCGCTTTCCTCAAATGGTTTGAGTTCGAGAGGGGTCTGGATGCAGACCTGGTGCAGTGCAATCTGATCTGCATCCAATGCTTTTTAATGGGCTCACCTAACCCCACCCATAACCCTACCCATCACAGTGACATCACTCACTCCATTTGAGTGCATTGTGTCTCACATTGCATCGCTAAGTGATGCAATCTCAGCTTGCATCATAAAGGCTGCATCCAGATACTATTGTTGAATTCCCTTAACTTACTGGGTTTCACAGGGTATATATAACATAATGGGAATGTTTTTAAATACTAATCAAACTACCTATTCAAAATGAGCTGAAACAAAACAATTTGTGAGATTCTTTGCAGGAAAATCTTAATTGTTGTAAGTTTAATCCACTTAAATTTGTTAAGTTAACTCAATCGATTTGTGTTAAATGAATGACAACAAGAATGAATTGTGTGCAACCCTTCATTTTTTTACAGTGTAGCTGGAGGCATATGTAAAAGTATGTATTAGAGTACTTATTGCTTGCTTTATCATTGTTTGCATAATAAAATTTGACAGTTTATTTGTTTCAATCAGTTTGATTTATTTCTGTGCAGTAAAATTCATCAAAGACTAGACAAAAATAAACCAATAAAGTAACTATGCAAAATGTACTGAAAGAGAGATAAAGGCTACGATAACATTTAGATTGTATTATGGCTGTTTACTTTGAGTGACTGTTGGATTTCCTCCATGTTTCCTTGATTTGAATGCATTCTGGGGCATAGACTGATAGATGCGTGCATATATATCTTCAGAAGAATTAAAGCCATTTGTATCTGGAGATCTTTATTGCTTTGTTAACTTCACCAGTAATCAAGGAAGGGTGTGTATTTGCTATAGTATTGGGCTGTGGTTAATGTTTGATATAGCTTATTGTGAAACAGTTCAAGACATTACTGATATTGAGAATTAAACGAAATAGTTCAGCAAACAGGATGTCCTTCTTTAGTGATGCTATGTATTAATAATAATTAAAGCATTAAAGGGATAGTTCACTCATTATTTAATCACCCTCAAGTGGTTCCAACCCTTAATCTGCTTCTTTATCCATCATCCAATGCAAAGAAAAAAATGTTGAACAATTTTTGAATCTGGTAGCCATAAACACTCATAGGAAAACAAAAATTACCATGGAAGCCAAGAAAAAGTAGACAAAATAAAATTGTAAAGCAAATTGCTGCACAGCTTATTTTGAGTTCACTCAACTGGTAAAGCCTGGTTTATGGCCGACGCGTCTGCTAGTTTGCTTGAGTGCACATGGCTGCACTCAATGTGTGACGTCATGGCTGTGTTTGCGAAGGTTCGCTTTGGGTGCACGCAACATGATTTCGGCTGGCGGAGTGCATCATTTGTTTTAAGACTCCAGCGGAGAGTTCGCACGGCGCCATGTTTTATTTGAGTTCAATATGAAACAGTTTTAAGGGATCATAGAGAAAACCAGATGACCAATAATTCTGGGTTAGAAATTGCACCAGCTGTGGGAAAGGAGGAAGTTTTTGTTAAAAAGTTTGGAAAAACCTGAGTGATAAGGTTGTTAAAGCCGAAGAAGACCATGGCAAAAGTGGAGACTCAGGTATATAATTACAGAATATGTTTTTCCACCAGTCATAGGTTTTACACTTATTTACTGTATATATTACAATTTTAAATTTAAAGCTTTTTAATTGTTACAAAACTATTATAAAAGTACAAATTATTTCTTTGATAACTACAAAGAAATATTTGAACCTATCGATTTACAATATACTGATGACCTGCTTTTCTTGGTTTTATTGGTAATTACGGTCAGGAATGTTGGACCATTATTGCCTTTTTAGCATAAGAAGAGGACAGAAACTAGCCAGACAGTAATGTGTAAATTGTGGAGTAGGCTAAATCAAAAAAACATCTGTATTTTTTCAGTAAGTGTACTTTTTTCGTTGCTTTTATTCTAGCCATAATAAAAATATATTTGTAGAGCAACCCGTGTTGTGCTGTTATTAATATTGTAATAAACTTTAATAGGTAAAACTGTCCGAGATGTGATCAAAAGCAAGTGATGCATAGAAGTTTGATAAAAAAAAATCTTAAATGGTTGTAAAAATCCTTGTAATTAATAAAATAATTTATAAAAATAATTAATTTAAAAATATTGAATGCTATCAATGATATAACATAGTTCCGGAAACTTTCTATTAGCGGAGGTTTGCCATGCGGCGCCAGGTGAAAGTATAAATCCAGCTTAAACCCAAGTGCCGCAGTTGACTCGATTTAAGTTGAGTCAACTCAAACAGCAAGTTGTCCAAACTGAGTGAACTTTTTTATTAATTTACAGTGAACATTCTTCAAAATATCTTTCTTTTTTAGATGGTGAAATGAGTAAATAATGTAAAATATTTAATTTTGGAGTGAACTGTTCCTTTAAAACCCTCCACCAAATCATGAAATGCAATTAGTAGTGATGAAAAAAACAGTAAAACTCAACCTCTCTCATGCTGGAGTTTACTGCCAGCGTAACACACTCACCAAGTATTCCTGGATGCTAGTGTTTGTGGTTTCTCCTGGTTGGAAGGGTTTTGGTCTACGTGCCGCTCTGAGTGTACCAGCATCTCCAACTCACCATTCACACCATGATGATGTCAGCAGTTCCCATAAAGACACGCACATCCTGATTCTGAGGAAAATCTGACAAATTATACAGTTCTGTTGAAGCACTGGATAATCCCAGTATCTGAAATGAATATAAGCATGAGAAATAATTTCTAGTCACATCAACGGAATTTGAATTACGTCTGCGACAGACATATTAGTAATTAATGTTGAGTAAGTCATCTGCTGAAGTGGTATATATTGAGAAAGTGGGAGGAAATTGACTTTACTGAATCTCACACTGTAAAAAACACAAAATCAATTAAGTTAAAATAAATTATCACAAATTTAAGTGGATAAAACAATAAAACTGTCCCCCAAAACTCAAGAATTGTGTTGATTCAGCTCATTTTAAGCCCATAAAAAAGCAGCAAAAATCTGTTTATGAATGTAGTTACCCAGCAAGCGTTTTTATTTATTTGTGTCTGTTTAAAAGACCCCTAATACACTGTAAAAAAGTGCTTAGTCACTTAAAGTGAGTAAACCAATTGCCTCAAAAGCAACAAGTTGACTTTACAAAAATAAAATTGGTGGTTGGTAAGTTGGAAATCGCGCGCGAACTGTGAAGAGCAGAGGGGGGGTTGTTATTTGGAAATCGCGCGCGAACTGAAGAGCAGGGGGGTGTTATTTGGAAATTGCGCACAAACTGAAGAGCGAGGGGGTGGTATGTCGTGCGAGAACTGAAGAACATGGGGGGGGGGGGTGTCGCTGGGGCACTTCTGATCCTTTTGGAAGGGCACTTTCTATCCAATACTAAAAAGGGCATGTGCAGGTTGAGCCCTATGTGTGCACGTGCCTGCTTCTAAATTCAATACAGGCTATAATTGTAGATTTTATAGTCTTAATGAAGCACCAAATATGTAATTTTGAAAAACTTACAGTAATTGTTTGAAAACAAACGTGCTGAAATAGTCTGACAATGTAAAAAGAGATTAGTTGACTTTTAAAAAGTGAGTACAATTAGCATAATTATAAAAATAAAGTCAACTTAACTAAGCTGATCTCACATCGTTACGTTTTGTCAGTTGTGTGGCTAATTCGTCCGAGTTGAGTTGTACAAAAATGTAAGATTTTAAAAATGAAGCG